CCAGGAAATTGTAACAAAAACAAAAAACAAAAGTCCAGATAGATGATAAGAGTATATAGAAATAAGCAAACAAAAATTATAATAAAAGAGAGGGACACAAAACTTACTGGCATTCTTTTTTAATTTTTATTTTAAAGGCGGTAAAATTAAATACAACAAAACAGAAAAAAATAGGACATAAGAAAGCAATGTAAGATATATAAATTTCAAAGCTAGATGACCTAAGATCTTCACTATTATACTGTCTCGTTTTCTTCCAAATAGTTGTCCATGTCTTCGCATACAGAGAATTCATACAAAGCAACATAATATAAAACTGATCCGAACAGAATGAGGAGGGCATTTTATGTCTTCCAAAAAGACAACAGGGAAGTCACTAATGGTTGTCATAGAGTCTCTCGTTTTTTTCAAAATAGCTGTTCATACTTTCATATATATTGAAGTTCAACAAAACAAAACAAGCTAAAATAACACCATTAATTAGAACAAAGCAAAACAGGGATAAAAATATTTGCCTTCAAAGAGATGGTAGAAGGAAATCCCCCCCATTTGCTACATTGCCTGTGGTCAGCCTCTCAAGGGATGTCCAGATCACTGGCTCTCACTTGCTACCAGGGAAGTGGGGAGAAGATGTGATGTTTGATTCTAGGCCACACAGAGCTGCTCACCAGGGGGGATAGGTTGCTTGGTTTCCTGGCACTCCATGTCCTGGCATGGTGTGGGTCCCAGTAAACACCAGTGGCTCCCTTCCTGGGCCACTGGAGCCTGCCACATAGCCGCTCACCAAGGGTGGAGGGGTTGCTTGGTTTCTTGGTGCTCTAGGTCACAGCACGGTATGGGTCCCAGTAAACGCTGGAGGCTGCCATCCTGGGCCACTGGAGCCTGCCACGCTAAGCTGCTCACAAGGGAGGATTGCTTCAAGCTGTTTCTTTCTAATGAATTGACCATTTCACAGCCCAACTTCTGAAATGGCCAATAGGCCATAGAAAGACATCTCTTTAGGCTCCTGCTGGAAACCAACAGCGTCAGGAAGCTGCTGGCCTTGATTCAGGGCCAGTCTTTTTTAACTTAAAAAAATTTTTTTTTTGTTACTAGCATTCTTAAGATAAACTATAAAAATATATGTTATAGATAGGATTTTGTCTTTTCTAAATTCTTTTTACAAGAGATTTCTGCTAACTGACCTACAACAAATCTGACTAGTCTATTTTATTTATTCATTAATTTATTTTCAGTACTGGGGATCAAAATCATGCCCTTGTGCTTGCTATGCAAGCACTGTGCTGCTGTGCTATATTCTCAGCCCCTGACTAATTTGTTTATAGTTACAAATTCTATGACTGTAAAAAGTTATTGTAATCATTTTGCTATATTTGAATGCAGTCTTGATTTTGTAGCCTGTGTATCTGTTTGTCCAGTCTGTTAAGCTGTTGTTGGTATTCATTGAACTAGTGATCATTTACACCATTGAACTAGTGATCGTTTATACGTGGAGCCAAAAGCAAAAGCATCTGTACAGGAAGGGCCCAAGGGCATGGGGTGCCTGAGAAACACCCTCAGGGCATGGGGGTGCTGGAGGTGAACACAGGGTGTAAGAAGTCAGCTAGTCAGCAAAGGGGCATGATACAATTGTATAGTCTCCTAGGAACTTAGCAAGCTCGTGAGGGCACCCACAAGTTGTGTGCTTGTTTCTGGCATTTCCAATCTGTACAGACCTTCTGTCCATGTTTGTCCATTTGTCCATTCTGTGAATAGCTGTTCCTTTTTACTGTAGCTTAACAATTCTCTTTTTTTTTTCTTTTGCATGTTTGGATCATTTGATCAAAGTTTAATTTGGGTTATGGATTTAAAAAGCATGCTTCCACGTGGTTAAAAAGTAATGTTAAATGTTGTGACTGGGTTTCCATAAGTTATCAAAGATAATTAAATAGAAGTTATCAAGTAATAAATATAATTAAATAAAATTCCCTTAGAGTGGGGGAGGTTATTGGATAGTATTCCAATTGATGAATAAGAAAACAACTGTCTGTTTACATTAACCAATTATTGTTCATTAATGGGAGGCCGCAGTGATCTCCATAGCCTTATGGGAGACACCTCAACTAAAGCTATAAAATATATTATTTTCTTTTTTTTTTTGTCTTTTTCCTTTTTTATCGGTACCGGGGATCAAACTCACGATTGCCTGCTTGCAAGGCAGGCGCTTATGCCGCTGAGCTAAATCTCCAGCCCCCTCATTTTTTAAAAAATGAACTTTTCTTTTCTTTTTTTTTATCGGTACCAGGGATCGAACTCACGACTGCCTGCTTGCAAGGCAGGCACTTATGCCTGCTAAGCTAAATCCCCAGCCCCTACAGGTCTCATTTTAACTTGGTCTTGGGCATCCAACAGAAAAGTCCACTTCAAGAGGTATAAACAATGCCATAGTAATAATTTAGCTATCAAAGAAACTCAAATCACTACCTTCTGACAGTTGTTGGCTGCATGGGTAACTGACTACTATTACAGATTAATAGACTGTACAGGGTTTTAATTGCTAAATGCAGGGATTTAAAAATCCTTGAACTTGAAATCTTCCACCTAAATGAGACTTTTATTCAAAATAGAAATAGAATACAGAGTTTTCCAAATGCAGCTCCTCTAGCTTGAACTGACCATCCTGTGCTACAACAAAACAAAAGAGAGGGATAGGAAGGGAGCTGTTGAAGCTGGAAATTGGTTACATGCGTGGGGTTCAGGCATGGCTATCCTAAGAACACACAGCCCCCCAGCAAGACACATGAAGCTGCTTCAGCCCAGAAAAACACCAAGCCTCTAGATAATCCAAGCAATGGGTTAGGCAGAGTACCACATGACATTGTGTTGCTAAATGTATAAATAAACGCCCCTACAGTTAGTTAGGAGCCAGTTCCTTTCCTCCCATCTGGAGAGTAAGGGCTCCATTTGACCCCTACTTTGATTTCTATTTTCTCATCCTCTCGTGGTCCTTCATTCCCAAGAACTCTGGAGCTGCACGGGTAACGGCAGAGGTGCATCAGATTAACTCTCAAGATAAAGTCACAATGGCCAGCCCTTCATACATCCCTGGAGGATAAACAGAACTTGAGACTATACTATAATTAGTATTGCCCAGTCCACTAAGTCCAGATATGCATCAGACACTTGGATGGGGTGATCAGGACATCTGGATCCACCCCTTTGTCAGTCTGGCGTGGTGGCATATGCTTGTAATCTCAGCACCTGAGGTGGGGCTGAGGCAGGAAGATTGCTGGGGGTTTGAAGCTAGCCTGGGCTACAAAGTGAGTTCAAGTCCAGCCTAAACTGCATAGTGAAATCCTGACTTTAAAAGATTAAAAAAAAAAAAAAAAGTCCCAGATATGCCAAGAGGAATGATGTCAGCTATACAAGCTTGCTACATGTCCCGTTTTCCTACTGGATCGGTAATAGCTAAGTGGCTCTAATCTTCTTGATTATAGTTTGATCCAGGTTGTACCCACATTATAACTCCTCTATAAATTAATCTCTGACAAAGGACCTCTGTAGCAACCCACGTGGGACCCCTCCAGTCTCTCAGGAGCTATTCCTGTTCTCCAATAGAGCCACTCTTAATCTGCTTTGTTTTTCAGAATTCATTCATTGATTTCAGGAAACACTAACTCAGCACATCTGACATGTAGCAGGCTGGGAGTTACATTTCTCCAGTGTGAAACCTACCTACCTTTTTTTCTCTTTCCTTCCTCGGTACTGGGGATTGAATCCAGGGCCAAAGCTACTAAACTCCATGTCTACTACTGAGCCCCAGCTCCGTCGTTCATTTGTTAATACTCATTCAGAAGATGCTTAAAGTGATTAAGAATACCATTAGTTGAACTGGGACTTTTTTTTTTTTTTTTTTGTCTTTTTATTTTTATCGATACCAGGGATTGAACTCACGACTGCCTGCTTACAAGGCAGGTGCTTATACCGCTGAGCTAAATCCCCAGTCCCAAACTGGGGCATTTTTAGTGTTTTTAAATTTTGGTTCTGTAATGAAAACTCCTCTTGCTAATATAGGTATCTATATCCAATGTAACATTAGCGTTTGCTCCGGAAAATTTTAACAGTGTGGCATTAAAATGATTGCTGAGACAGCACAATATACTTTGCTTCTCATTTGAAAAAGCAGAGAATTCACTTGGTCAAGCAAGCGATCGCGGGTCAGGAGCTGAAACAAAGGCTCCTGTTCTGAACCACACGCGCGCAAGCCCCATAGCTCACACAGGCCAGGGCTTAGCATTCCGCACTGTTGGGAGATCTGGTTGTGTGAGGGTACGCTGTGTGGGTTTGTCAGCTTTAGGGCAAAAAGGTAGCATATCTGGAGAATAAGCACTGATTACACCTCTGCAAGATCCAATTACGTACATTTCAGTAGCACGTCACATTTCTCAAGGTGTTTTCGTTTTACTTTAATGCATGTAACAACCTTGTGAAGGAAATCTACACCAGCAAACCCGTTTTCGAAATTTAAACACTGATTCCACGAAGGAAAAAGCGGCTTCGCAGAACCAGGGTAGTCACAGCAAAGGCCTGTGGAAGGCGAGGAAGCAGCGAGAGGGTGAACAGCGTAGCGTGGCCGGGGAACCGGACCGAGGAGCACCGCGCAAGGGCGCGCCGAGGTCCAACACGAGGGGCGGGCGGGTGGCCTTCAAAGCCGCGTGGCCTTCCGGCCTGTTCAAGGGTGCAAGCGTCCCCAGAGAGCGGCCTCACCATGCATCGGGTGAGGCGTGGGGAGGCGACGCGGAACGCCTGGGCCTGGGGGCGCGCCGTCGCCTAACAAAGGCCGCCGCGGCCATCCGTAGCAAGCAGCCTTAGCCGCCGGAAGAGTTAACCCCGCATGGGCGCTGGGCGCACCTCGGCCCCGCCCAGCCGTCGCTAGGAGACGCCGGAAGTGGGGGCGGGCGCAGCGCGAGCGCGGTGGGAATCTTTTTCTGGCGCTGGGGCGGAGGGGCCGCGCGTGCGCGCCACCGCCGTCGCCGCGGTGACCGTCCTCGCGGCCAGCCGGCTCGCGCCCCGCCTACGGCCCGCCGCCCCCTCCCGGCCGGCAGCGCTCCGGGGGAGCCGCTCGCTCCGCCCGGCCGCTCGGCCGCTAGAGTCTCGGCCGCTGCAGCTGTGCCTCTTCTCTCTGACTCGGGTTTTCTTGGCGCCGCCGCCGTCCCTGCGGGCTGCATGAGGAGAGGAGGAGGAGGAGGAGGAGGAGGATGTGAAGATGGCGGAGCTGCAGATGCTGCTGGAGGAGGAAATCCCGGGGGGCCGCCGGGCCCTCTTCGACAGCTACACGAACCTGGAGCGGGTGGCCGACTACTGCGAGAGCAACTACATCCAGGTGCGGTGCGGGCCGGCTCAGCCGCGTGAACCCGGGCTCCCGGCCTCCCGAGCCCGTGGGGGTGGGGCGCGGCGGGCGCCCGGCGGAGGGGATGGGGCGGCGCCTGCTCCCGGCTAGGTCCTCCTGCCGCGGCCGCCCGCGCTGTCAGTGTGCGTGTGTGCGCGCGTGTGTTGGTTGGTTCGCTCGCTCCATCGTTGTGGAGGATTTTTAAGGAGCTATGCTGCTGAGGAGTAAGATGCCTCTCTCAGGTTCCTGTTACTGCAAATGCCTGAAACATTATTATGTTTTACAGGCGTTTGGTAGAAGAGCACTTGTCTCTTGGAAGTTAATGCCATCTTTCGCCCTCCAAAAGAATGGGAAAATGCACGATAACGAGCTGTCCCCTAACTAGGTCCCATTAGAATGAATAGTTTTTCTCTGGGAAGAGCGGTGACTGTCAGAATTCGGAAAATGAACCTCATGGCATAATTTTTTTCCCGTGATGGTTGGTTTGGCACAGGGACTCGTAATGGTAGCGAGCGTGCGTGTGCGCGTTCGCACGCGCGTGTGGGCGGAAGAAACTGGTGCGAGAGAGGAGATGCCTCTGGACCTGGGTGAAGCAAAAGATTTTGTGCTTTAAAAAAATTATTTAAAAATTATTTGGAAGGGTGACAGGTTAAAATCCAGAACCTTGGGCCGGATGTTTAGCTCAGCGGCTTAAGTGCCTGCTTGGCAAACGCAAAGTCGTGAGTTCGAGCCCAGATACTAAAAGAAGAGAAAAATCCAGAATCATCTGCTTTTCTTAAGGCTCATTCTGAATTACAAGTTCTGCTTCCATTTTTTTTCGTATTTAAAGTCTCTTGGGATGAAGGTGGAAATGAAAGCTGTATGTTAAACTGTTCCTTTTTAGTCTTTTAAGTTTTTTTTCTTTGCTATTTTTTTTTTGAGACAGGGTCTCGCAATGCAGTTCAGGCAGGCTTTGAATTCACTATGTAGCTCAGGCTGGCCTTATGATGCACCTGCTGGGTTGCTGGGATCATAGGTGTGCGTTGGCCTGGTGTTTTAAAATTCTTGCTTCTACTTCCATCTCTCCACACATTCTTTTTTTTTTTTTTTTTTGTCTTTTTCATTTTTATCGGTACCGGGGATTGAATTCACGACCACCTGCTTACAAGGCAGGCGCTTATGCCGTTGAGCCAAATCCCCAGCCCCCTCTCCACACATTCTTAACATCGGTTGTATTTGAAAGCAGTCTCGAATCTTAGTAAACATTTAAAAAAATGACGCTTATATTTTATGAGGATCAAAAATGATATTATGAAATTTTACTTGACTAGATGTACTGAAACTCATGTTATCATGAGGAACATTTATTTATATTTGAGAATGAACCCGACATGATCTAAATCATTTCCTTCCAAAGAAATGGTTTTCAGTAGGAAAAGAATGTGTCTCATGTCAAAGATCAATTAAAACAATACAGATACCTATATTTGTGAAGTATTTTGCTAAGTAGTATAAGAAATACAGGATCAGTTGCCCAATTTTTTACAGAATATATTTGAAAGTCTTCTGTGGCCCAGAACTGGTCAGGGATTGATGAGTGTACACCTAGTGTCTTAGGGTACAGTAGGAGAATTGATCTGTGAGCAGCTTAGTGCCATATACAGGTCGGCTTTCTTAGTTGAGTCCAGCAACTAAGATTGAAAATACGTGTTGGAAAAAAAACCTGCCCCTCTACTGTGGTAAACATGTAGAGACTGTTCTTGTCATTCCTTAATAGGTACAGTATGACAAATATTTACATGGCTTTTTGCGTTGTATTAGGCATAAAAGTGATTTAGAGATAATGTGTAGGATATGGTGGTAGAGTGCATGCAACTATGATGCCATTTTATAGGAGGGACAGAGCAGCAACAGATTCTGGTATGAGGTGTGGGGTTGTGATACCAGTCTCTGGCGATATGGAGAGACAAGCCAGGCCTGGTTCATTTGTGCTAACCAGGCCATTAGGGAATTCTTGCCTGACCAGAGACAGAACCTGAAGAACTGAAGTGCTAATTTTGTTGCCTTGTGCAGTATTTCTGTTTGCTCGTTTTTAGACATGGTCTTGCCATGTAGTTCAGGCTGGCCTTGCACTTGCTACAGTCCTCTTGGTTTAGCTTCTTGAATGCTAGAGTTACAAATGTGTGCTACTGCCTTGTGAAGTATTTTTATGGGAGAGTGTTGTAAGTCAGACAAGAAATTGGGGGTGGGGAAGTGATTGGATTTCAGTCATTACCAATAAATAGTAAAGAGAGATTTGTCTCTATTTGTAGATAAATTTTACTATAATGTGCAGGGTCAGGTCTTATTAGATTATAATTGCTACAAGAGGGTAAATGTATGTGGAATATAAATCAGAGGTTGAAGGAATGAGCATTTTCTTTTTTATATTTTGTGCATTTATCCCAGTTGCAGGGATAGGAACACTATCATTCCCAGTATCTGTCTTAGCAGTGGGAGTGAAAATATAGTTGTATTTGCATTTTATTTCCTTATTTTGGGTGCTGCAGACTGAAGCCAGGTTCTTGTGCATGCTAAGCATGCACTGTACCACTGAACAGCATCCCCAGCTGGGTATATTTTGGCATTTTAAAACTTAAAGTGTAAATAAACACTGATTTACTAGAAATGGATATAGATTTGAAATGACCATATTTAGCACCTGAAGTAGTTTTTAAACTCTTATCTCTGAGGTGATCATGTATTTAGGATCTGGTTATTGTGGCGCTTTCCCAGGTATGGACTCTTAGAGAGCTGTTTGTAGTGAGATGCTCACTAGAACAGGGCAATAGCAGCTTTGTGCTGACCTGGCTGTGTGCTTGAGACCAAGAGCTGACCAGCAGGGTGAGTTGGTGGACTCAGTGATCCATTGCTTTGTTTAGCTTGACTATGTATCACATCTTCGCTGCTAGTGCTGCGTGGCTGACTCACATTCATTTGTATGGAAATGTAATTTTGCCTATGAAGCAGAAAAAAGGAAAAATCCATTAATTGTATTGTATAACTTGAATAACTGGTTTATACCTAGGACTATTAAAACTAAATAAGAATATCTTAAATATGAATTTTGTTTGTTGTGAAAATAGAGCTCATGCAGGGAAATTTTTGAGAAACACTTCTAACCTGATTAAATTATTTCTGTCTTGGAAAAATATCCTTTAAAAATACCAGTTACATTTGGAGTCAGATAGTGCCTGTGCTAGAACATGTACAATATCTTCAGGTAGATCAGCTTTTCTTTTTTTGCTACTGAAGATCGAACTCATGACCTCATGCTTACCAGGCAAGCTGTTGAGCCACTAAGCTACATCTCCAGCCCTAGATCAGCTTTTCTTTTTTTTTTTTTTCTTTTTCCTTTTTATCGGTACCGGGGATCGAACTCACGACTGCCTGCTTGCAAGGCAGGTGCTTAGGCCGCTGAGCTAAACCCCCAGCCCCCTAGATCAGCTTTTCAATAGTGGTTTTCCAGGTTATTTATGTAGCTGACATTAGAAATTTGAAGATCATGTTAAATAAAAATCAGTTTTATTATTTGAATCTCTAAAATATATGGTAGTTAAAAGTATTTTTTCTGTATAATATAATAAGTTAAAAATTATGAGTATGACTTGCGAATGTTTACCAGACTGACTTTGTAAAATTTTTGCGTGTAAATATTATTTAGTACTGGGCACAGTGGTGGATATCTGTGCTGCTAGACTTGGGAGGCTTAGGCAGGAGGCTAGCAAGTTCCAGGTCAAGGTAGACAAGTTGGTTTTTTTCTTTTCGTCTTTTTGAAACAAGGTTTCATTGTGCTGTTCAGGCTGGCCTTGAACTCAGGTAGGCTGACCTCAAACTGCAGCAGTCTTCCTGCCTCAGCCTCCTGAGCGCTGGGGTTTCAGACATATACCACCACACTCAGCCAGTTTAGACAAGTTAGAAAGAACCTGTCTAATATCTCTATATATGTATATATAGATATATAATGTGTGTGTATGTATAAAATACATATTTATACACAAATGAACTGGGATGTATTATATATATACATCCTGTGTGCACATGGACTGGATATATACACATATATTTAGGCACACATATAGACTAGGATACGCACACACATATATATTTACATGTGCACGGACAGAGGATAGCTCAGTGCTAGAACACCTGCCCAGCACGAGTGAGGCTCCAAGTGCATCCCCCCTCCGTACTGCACCTCTTGCTCCCCAACTATGAATCATTAGTAAAGCCTTTTGAGATACACTGAAACCTTTGTCTTTTCATTTATTGATAATAAACATGGAATGCCTAATTATTAGAAAATGTTCCTGAATTTTAAAACATTTGAATAACTTGGATTATACGTTTTCACAGGATTTTATAATCCAAGTCATTTTAATATTTTAAATACGTTTGTATTTGTTACTTTCCTAAAGTAAATTTGAAAAACCAACTTGTTGATATTGCATTTTCCTTTTTGAAGAAAGTTACCTGTCATTGGAGGAATGATTCACATAGATACAGAGTAAAATCTCATTGTTTATTGTTTAATGTTAAGAGCAGAATTATGCAATAAGTTTAGTCAGAACAAAAATTGAGAGTTAATTTTAAAATTTTATCTAAAATACTTTTTAAAAATAATGTCATTAGTAGCTTCTGTTTGTCAACATCAGCACTCCATAATTGAGAATTTTGTGAGTTTATAAGAAGATAATAAAATAATAGCTGATCATCAGTTTCCCAAAGTAATCACTAAAATGATACAGATTTTTGTGGTAGGTTGAATCCAGGGCATTGCACATGCTAGGCAAATGCGTGAAAACATGTTTCACTATTGGCCTCTGGGAATTTTAGTATGAAGGAAGGTCTTGCTAAGTTTCCCAAGCTGGTCTTGAGTTTTCATCTTTTGTCTTGGCTTCCCAGTTAGCTGGAAGAAAAGTGATTATTTGAGTCCTTGCCTGTGACTTTTGTCATTAGCTTCACAAAATGAGTTG